CACACAGGCTCGCATGGACACACACACAAACACACACACAGAGGCTCGCATGGACACACACACAAATGCACACACACACACACCACACAGGCACACACGGACACACACACAAATGCACACACACACACACACACACAGTTCTTTTCCTTAGAGAATCTTGACTTGGTAATCTACTCAGTTCCAGGAACTAAACAATTGACCCATTGTTTGGGAAGCAAATAAATTGATAGAGCCCACCAAGTATTTTAGGAAGAATGAAAAATTTCTCTCTCCAATCCACTCTCTCACGGACAATCATATAAATAGAAAATGCATGCACACGGGAAGAACCCTTAAGTCTTCAAATCTGTTCTATCTTTATTAGAATATGCTCCAAAAAACAAGGGCTTTCAAAATCTTTCTGTTAGTGCTAAGTGAAAGTACACATGGTGTGGAATCTCTCTCTCTCTCTGTCTGTCTCTGTCTATCTTCTCTGTCTCTCTATTTGTCTGTCTCTTTCATGTGTTCATGTGTAGATATGTGCAGGCGTGTGTGTGTGTGTGTGTGTGTGTGTGTGTGTGTGTGTGAGCAAGCCAGGGGTTGACTCTGGGAGTTTTTCTCAATTACTCTCTATTTTATCTTTGGAGATAAAACTCACCAAAACTGCAGGCCCCTGATTCAGCTAGGTTGGTTTGCCCAGCAGCCCCAGAGGAGCTTACAATCTCCATCTTCCTGTCTTCCTGTGATGGGATTACAGATATGTGCAGCTGCATCCCACTTTTTAGATAGTATAGAGCTGAAATCGGGTCTTCATGCTTGTATGGTCAGCACCTTACCCACAGAGCTACCCCCCTAGCAGCCCCTGCAGTTTCTTAAAAGTTTCATTTATAAAGTATTCATTCATGTTAACTAACTCAGAATCCTGAGTACTATCTCCATGTTGATACATTTCTGTAGTCCAAGTGAAATGGTACTTCAGGAAGCCACTGGTCCAGATGGGAAGTCTTTGAATAAAGTAGTTTATTCTAGAGATATACTGAAGAGTGTTCTTAACCTAGACAATGAGAGTCTGATTGCTATTCAAACATACTTTTTATTATATAATCTCAATTTTTATTTCTCCCAAATTATCTTCCTAACAGCCAGGAGAACCCAGACTGAAGGCAGAAAACAGGACCTTGAAGCAGCCTAGCTCATCTGACACTGGCTGGCTGAAAGCCACAGCCGGTGAGCAGGCTCAAGAGGACCAAAATGCACCTTTAACAATAGTGCAAGTTGGTGAGATGGAGAGGACAAGACGGGGCTTGACAGTCAACCCTCCATGGGAAAAAGTTTAAGTCCCTAGTATCTTAACAGTCTGTTTATAAAATACAACATCTGCTCTAAAAAAGGCCAACCATCGACAAACACGGCCTGTGTGCCCACCAGGAGCAAGGGTTAATATGCTGATCTCATTTTGTTCAACAATTGCAGATTAAGAACGTGCCTGTAAAACCACAGTGTGGATTAACAGACTCGGCTGCAGAGCTCATGTTTTCTAATATGACAGACAGAAATGACACCTGTTCTTAGGGGAGATGGCTTTAAATGTCACTTGATGGCAGCAGTGTAGTTCAAAATATTAAATACCCAAGAGAAATAAGAAATGATTACTTTTCTTACAACGATATCCTTTCAGAATCGAATGAGCCCCTGAAGGTTACCTGTGTTTAACCTGCATCCCTGTTTTCCATTTTTTTCAGCACTAGAGATCAAACCCAGTGTGAGTGAAATGGTCTACCACTGAGTTACGCCCCAACTTCTAACATTTCTCTAGCTCAGGAAGCTCCCCCGCACACCCCCAACTAGTCCCTTTCTACCACAATCTAGTCTCTAGTATGAGAAAGGGAGGACCCTTGCAGCCCACTTTACATGGGGTCGAAGTTCTCCACAGTCATCAATGGAACTTCAGTTTCTGGCATCTTGTAAGCCTCCAATTGAAACCAAGCAAATAGACAACAAAGCATAGCTCAGTGTTCCTCCTAAAAC